TTCAAACTATGCATTTATTGTCGGAAGTCTCTACTGACTTGTTGCAGACGTATCAAAGCTGTTGTCTCTGTGTAATTCGAATAATTCGGACCAAAGTGGAACTTTGTGCTCTTTACATGAAGGTACTATATTTAATACCATCGGCCACTGCACCGTATATAAACGGGTTCCGTTCTGTTTAAAGTCCGTCGGATTTGCAATTATCATCCTAATAAACAGCGGCACGGTCGTAGCTTAATTCAAAACAGACCGGTCAATCGCCTTGTTTGTTGAGAGCAAGAACTTGATAAAGGTGACTCTCAGAATTTTCGGGTTAAATATTATTTATGTACGTTCGGTATTGGTATAGCATCCACCCGTACTGGGAAAGTTTTTCTTTTAGTTTTGAAGCGGACAATGTAAGATTCCGTGCGGTAAATAAACTAAAACAACACCTTATGCTGGACTCTCGCTAGGCATTAAATGACAAAAATTTAAATTTTAGTGGCAAAGTTGGGCATTAAAAAATATTCGTGTCATTACGGTGAAAAAATAGTCATCAAATTCATTTCCATATGGCATTTTTTAAATGCCTCCATTTTTTTCTAATTCCAATGCTTAGTGGAAACTCGGCATTATTAAATTTGGATCTGCCGGCGCACAGTGCGTAATTTGGGCGATTTGGGGCAAAGCATATCATAGCGCCCACAATTTTGATTTTATGATTTTTAATTTTTTTTTGTGTTATGCATTTCTAATACTGTATAATTAGGGTTCCAAAGTATGTACGTGATTTAGTGTGTAAAATATTTTATATGGGCATTTCCAGTGAGAAGGTCTTTATAGTAAATAATTAAAATATCTATGTTAGTTATGGTCCAATTTGGTAGATTTTTTTATTTGTATATTGGTTGCATATGCGGGAATATTTTTGCTAAATATTTAACATTTAGGTGGCGCCGGGCTCAAAGTATTTTCAAATCTCGTAATTTTGGACCGATTTTTTTCAAAATTTTTATTAGATACATATTTGGTAAAAAATTTTTATAATTTCTTCGACCCATTTTTCCGGCAGTTTCCAACATTTGCATTAAATATAGTATTTTAAAAGGGCTATACAAAAATCGAAACAAAAATAAGAAAACATTTAAATTATTTTCGTTTCTCCACCTTACTCCACGTTTATACCGGCAATGGGCACTCGCATACGGGACTCTCACTTATCTCGCATAAGAAATCTTATCGCATAGAAATTTTTGTACGTGGGCATTTCATCGCATGCCATTTCAGTGCGAACATGTTTTAAATTTTTATAAATGTAGTTCCATTTTTAGCTTTTCCCGGAATTGTACCACTTCGTTATTGCTCGGAAACAAAAAAAAAGAGTATGAAGAAATAACTGCTAAACTAAAACGATGAACGATATCGTATCTGAACTTTTCCAACTTCCATTTTTCGATTCTCCTTAAATCGCCAAATTACACACTGTGCGCCGTCCAAATATACATACATCCAACAACATCTCAGGGTGTTATCGACAGATGGCCTAGATAAAAATACTCAATATATCACGGATCTAGACCGAGCTTAGTTTATTATTTTGGACAAAAATCGATTCTAGTTCTTCGGTATCGTTTTACAGTGGCAAACTCCAACTTTATTTTCCTTTAATAAATTCTATATTTCTGAGTATTATTCAATAATAAAACAATTCTATTTATGCTCTTCTTATTGCAGCTTCTACCAGATGTTGATCCCATGGAAATTCTTTCCTACTTGGACCCACAACCAGATCTGAATACACCGCCATCCAGTGGCTCCAGCAACAACAACAATAATGACGATATACTTTCAACACTATTCGATTGAGACAATTTACTGCAAGAGTTGTTGTAATTCTAATGGCAAACACAACTAGAAAAACAAAAAACAAAGCAAACATCTAAACAAAGTCGATAAAGCAAATGCGAGTGTTACGAACAAGCAAAGCAGCCTTTGAGATGGCACACATCCATCAACAGGGTATCAAGAAAATGTGAAAGAAAATGGAGAAAACGGAAAACGGTTGGTTAAAAAAATATTGTGAAAAAAGAAACCAAAATAAAAACGTAGTGAAAAAAGGCAACTTTTGATGTTTCTGCGAGCAAACCAAACAAAACAAAAAAAAAAAATACACAAAACAAATAAAACGAACAAAATAAAAATTGCATACAGATATGCTAAAACTTTTGCTGAAATAGAAGAATTTCTATAATATTTTTCGTGAAAATCAAAGTTTATATAAACTAAGTAGAAATCAAATGAACAAAAAATGCGACTATTTTACGTTTTTATAATGAAAATTCTTCATGCAAAACAATCAGCAAGCTCATCCTCAGCAGTAAAGCGTTTCAAAACAACAACTATATCGATAAATTTCAGTGTAAACTATGCACAAATAGTCGATGTCTCTACATACATAAGTAGGCGCTAATTTTCGATCTGTATATACATACATAGATACATATGTAAATGCATACATACATACTTAGTATTATTAATGTTTGCCAATAATGTTTGTGCATGTTTTTCAATCATCATCATCATCGTCATCATCATTGCCGAACTCTACAGGCGCTTTGGCTTTGAAACTATGCAGAGAGTATGCACAATTTTGCGAGAATTTTCAATACAATTTACACAAATACAAGTAGCAAAAAATATCTCCGTGTGCAGCTTGTAAAATTGTGAAAGCTTTAGAGAGGTAAAGCTTTCATGTAAGTAAAATATGTAGAAGCTTATGAAATTTCGTAAGCTTTCGCAAGCTTACAACGAAATCACAAACAAGTCGTGCTTTGATGTCTAAAAACAAAAAGATGTAGTTAAANATTAAAACGAGTAGAATGCAAAAACAATGAAATGTGATTTTAAGCTGTAAATGAAACACAAAAACTAACTGTTTTTTTTAATGTTTTTAAATGTACAAAATTTAATGCACACACACACACACACACACACAAAATCAGCCTCAGACAGCACGAAGGTTATCGAAATGAAGAGTTATTATTTTGCAGTTTAGATTTGTTAAAAATAATTAAAATTCTTTATAAATATTTTTTTATATGCCGGATTGTTGCGCGTACTTGCAGTAAATTTTTTATAGCCTTTTTGATTGAAAATTTCTGTTTTTTAAATGTTCTGTACGTCAGAAAATCGGTTTTCAAATGTTTTTCTTTGTTACAAAATTAGAATTAAAAAGTAAAAAAAAAATAATAATTTACATACGAAAAATAGTGATGAGCACATCCATTTTTTAATGTTTCTACTGTACAAAGTATTAAAATAAAATTCAACAAAACAATTTAATTTAACTATTAAAATATTACTTATTTACGTGTATAGTAAAAAAAAAATTAATATAAATTTAGTAAACATTAAGCCTATAGTAAGCTTAATTACATTAAACTTATGAATAAAAAATATGTGTGCGATCAGAGAGGGATAGCAGTTGACAAAAGAGCAAAAAAATATATAAAAACAAAAATTAATAAAATTTAATTGTTGCGTAATTTTAGTAAATCTTTTTTTAATTAATTCTAGCATTAAAGATTTATATACATACACTTAAAAAATATGCATTTTAGTACATACACAGCAAAAATAAAAAGAAATTCTTTATGAAAATACAAGCATCACTTATAATGCGTATGTATGTATATGTATCTGAATGCATAGATTAAAAAAAACACCCACGCATACACACACATTTAAAGCTTATTGATAAACAATTAAGTTAGGTTATACACATATATATACATATATATATATATGTATATGTTTATATAAATAATATAGCATAAATAGTTTTACAATAAATATTTAAACATTCAATGGAAGAAAAATTACGAAAAAAAATTTAATAAAAATTTTAAAAACCATAAAATCTCTACAACCACAAAAAGTATGCAACACAATATTGAATTTACATTTTTAAGATATTAAGCAGAAGCAGGCGGATAAAAATTAACTATGTATCATATAAAAAAAAAATAAAAAATAAATATATTAAACGGTAAAATTTTAGTGACAAAATAGTACTAAATACGTACATGCATATGTATGTATATAGATGTGTAATAAATCTTAAATAATATGCTTAAAGTATTTAAAAACAAAAACCACATACATATACACGCATGCATATGTGTGTATTTGTTGAAAGGAAAGAAATAATTCAACCGAAATATTGTAAATACTTATTAAAAAAAAATAAAGAAGTAATGGCATATAACATACATAAATACATACATACATATATAAAAAAAAGCAAATTAAAATTGATACAAAAGTACACAAAAATAAAAAAGTATTAAAACCAACAACAAAAGTGTGATTTTTCTTCCCATTTATGATTACATTTTCACCAGCATTTTGAAAGAGGACATCACGCTGCCCATTTTCGCTGCAGTCATAGTACAGTACGTGTGGCTTTTGCGACTACAAAACCTTAAAGAAGTGAATCTCTGAAGTTTGAGGAAATTTGATTTTTTTTTTTGGAAGTTAAATATTTTGTATCTGCACTACGCCTTAACAATATCCCTTTATTACTACATTTTTTAAGTTTTAAGAATTTTTGTTCAAGAGTTCAAATACTAAGGGCCAATTTCAGATGCACAATTTAAGTGGCGATTGATGATTAAAAAAGCTTAATTTTCAGATCAAATATTTAAACTTAATTTAAATGCCAAATGTCCGCTATTTAAATATGGAAAATGCAACCCTGACTTGATTGCGAATTCATATTTGATTTAAATGCCATTTAATTTAAATGAAATATTTACAAAAGCTGTATGGTGGTTTCAGGAATAGTATTCCTTATCAAAAAGTAGAGTGGTCCCGCATTTTACGCAAGAAATTAAAAAAAAACCAAGCCCTTCAAAAATTTCTTTTTCAAATCTTTTTTTGATAAAAGGCGTGATCTGAGAAGTTTTCATCGTTCTCAGACTATCCTTAATTTTTGAAAAAGATCTTTTTCTGAAGATCTCAAAGAGTACATATATCTCTTAAACAAAACTCAGACCTGCTGGACTAAGACTTTACCTAGTAAAAATGGTCCGCAAGATGAGCTCTTTCAAAAATAAGCCATGGGTATTCTGTTGAAAAAAATAAACACAGAAGCTTGCTAGATGAGGACAAAGAGCGTTAGATAGCGTGACAAGGATACGGAAGGCATGTAAATTTGAAAGCAACATACATAATTGACAACAACAAATAAAAGTGTTTACTACGAAATTTTAATAAGTTGTGTGCAGAAATTAAACTGCCGTTAGAAAAATATACATACATACATACATGATAAACAGAGGTCGAAAAAATGTAGCTGCCGCAGACAAAATGAAAATATAAAGCCCTGTAGAGTTAGTCCTCTGCATATTATTACTAAAAAATTATCAGCCTCATTGCGAGAGTCGTGCCGAATGCAAGTCGTTTTTCGAGAGTCGAATCGTATTGAAAATTTAGCGTCATTGCCTAAAATTTCCACTCGACTAGTGTATTAAAACGGAAAAACTTGGCAGCACTGCATAGTTTTCGACAATTTTCGTCGTTTACTTATTTCAGCACGACAGTAGACAATGCTAATGTTGTCGAGTCGTACAATTCAGCCTAATTTACGACTTACGCAATGAGGCTGTATATGAACAGATAGGCAATGCATTCGGTCTTATCATAAATTCCATGTGAACAAATACTCGCAAAAATTATAAAACAAATTTTCCGACTTTGTTTTTGTTTTGCCTATTAAATTATGCGTACGATATATTCACATGGAATTGGCGATAAGGGTGTCTCGGAAAATTTGGTTGCTGCCAAATGAGTTGTCCTTGGCCTGACTCAGCCATTTGCTGATTTTTTAAATATTCACAATATTTATAATTTACAATTTCTTGTTATTTTTTTTTTTTTTTAATATTCTTCGTACTTTAACCAAAGCCATATAAAAATTTGTTGCAACCAAGGCATATTGAACAGGTAGTATCAGTAGAGCAGCTGATTTGAGTTTTTTTCAAATTATTTGGTCTCAAATGTCAAATACTTTTAATTTTTTCGGCACAAAAATTCTAATTTATCAAAATCTATTTGCATCTGAAACCTTTTTCCATACAAAACAAGCGATTAAAAATCAGCTTTTGGAACGTTCACCTAATTCAGCAGCACAAACGCTGTTTACTGGGCCTTTCAAAAGATGGATCAATGCTTCGTGAAGCAAGTAAATTTACTAAGAAAGAAAGTCGCAACAATTTTTTTTTTTTTTTTTTTGCAATTTCATTTATTTTTTTTATTTTTTTGTGTTTCACGTGGACACTTTGATTTCAAAAAAAAAAATCAGAACAGTTTTTGACCAGGGTTTGAAAAACTGTCAGCACAGCAGCAACAGCACTACTATTTT